GAGAACCTGTTAATATAATTAAATTTAGAATACACTTTTGGAAAAGAACTTTGTTCCTTAAAGATCTGACAGGCCAGCGAAATTTATAGCGCTCAGTATATCAGTACAATCGATAGAACCATTGATTACCTTGTAAAAGAAAAGAACACAAGAAACATCTCGTCTGGAACACAAACTAGGCATATTAAACATATCACGTAGACATGAAGAAGATAATATCTTGTAAGTAAATTCCATTTTTCTTGTGAAACAAATATCGCAAGAAGTTGTTTTGAATTCGCTCAATAATTTCAATTTGAATACGGTAATTGGGATCCCAAATAATACTACAATATTCTGGACTGGATCGTACATAAGAGTAGTATAAAACCTTCAGGGCACTCGAAAATTCCCTAGTTTTGCGTTTAAGAATTCCAAATCTACGATATTCGTTAGAAACCACGGAATCAATTTGTTGGGAAAAATCAAGTTTAGTGTCAAAGATGATACCTAGATCCGTGACTGAATCTGAGCGGGATAAAACAAGGTCTTGATTTTATAAATATGATTCAAAGGCTGAGCTTCTCTAGTATAACTAAGAATACTACATTTTTCAATGTTCAGGTGTAACTTGTAGTCTGTGCACCACTTGAAAAAACAATCAAGATCCCTCTGCAAAAGGACAGCATCTAAATTGGAACTCTTTGAACTATACAATTTTAAGTCGTCAGCAAATAAAAGACACAAAGACACTCAGAGTACTTAAACACTAGTTAGGTCATTAATGAATAAAATAAAAAGCAGAATTCCAAGATTAGAGCCCTGTGGGACACGGGAAGTACCCGAGAACTCACGTGCAACAGCATTATTAAAATAATCATAAAATGTCCTATTACATAAATAAGAAAGAAGCTAATCCGTCAGGTTAACATGAAATCCAAGACCTTGCAACTTATTTAAAAGAATGCCAAAATCGATAGAGTCAAAAGCCTTCGAAAAGTCGGTGTAAATAACATCAAGTTGTGGAAATAAATTTGATCTCAACGACAGGTTAAACAAAATGAGAAGAGGATAAATGAAAAACTCTGTGCATCCCTTAATAAATAAAAGAAGGAATGTTATCCACACCACAACAGTTAGAGAAGATTTTAATTCCCTGATCGCCAAAACCACATCATCATAAGTAACGCTGTCGATTTTAACCAAATCACCGCACAGTTGCTCTTGAACTCATCCTTTATATCATAGTTTGTACTAGGTTTGAATACAGATTTAAAATAGTCAGCAAAAGCATTTGGAAAAAAACGCCAATATTCTAATAACACACGTTATTATAGTATAAACTGTTAAGTGAATTGATGTTTTTATTATTAAAATAAGACGACATTTTTTAGGATCCGAAATTAGATTATTTTACGTGAGTCGCAAATATATATTATAATCTTTTTGAATATTATACTTAACAGCAGAGCGTAGAGTTCTAAATTCATCGACTGAATCAGGATTTACACCTTTTAAAGCCAACCTTCGGACACTGGCTTTCCATTTTAAAAATCTTCTAGTTTCAATTGAGTACCAAAAGGGAAATCTCCTAGTAACAGTTTGTCTCAAATGAATAGTACGACTAAAAACATCATTTAAACAGTTATAAAAGCTAAAAACTGCTTCGTCAATGTCATTAAAATTAAGTAAAAAACCCCAGTCAATCTCACGGAACAAATATCACATAGTTAAAAAGTCAGCCCCTTTAAAATCATATCTAGATATATTCAAATTCTTCTTATTGGGATGATCAGCAACAAAACAAATGGAAATTGACAGAGCAGAATGATGCTTGTCCTCGGGAACTGTGCTAGACAGAATTATGACCAAAATCAATGTAAGTTAAAATCAACTCAAGAAATTTATTATTGCAATTAAAAGTATTGTTAAATTGCCCTAAATTGTAAAAATTCACAAAGTTGGATAGTTCGTTCACAAGTGGGTTCTTGTTATCTCCAAAATCGTCATATATCGATAAATTAAAATCGCCACAGATGAAAATGTTATAACCCCCCCCCAAATCTTCCAAAACAATAAAAAAATTTAACATACGTATCTGCACGAGAGGAGGGTGGAAAATAAACAACACAAACAAGCATTTTTTGCCTGTGATTTAATTTGATTGATACCCAGACTGCCTCGAAGTCCGATCCAGGAAGATCCAAAATTCAGGGAGAGAAACATTTTTTACCAGCAATAAGAAAAACTTCACCACGTCTGCATGAATTTGATGAGGAAACATGGTCCCTTCGGAATACCATGTATCTATCGTCGAAAAGTTCCAAAGAATCAATATCTTCACAAAGCCGTGTCTCTGTAATTAAAATAACATCTTGATCGTTAGAAGCCACAGAACTGTAAGAATAAGGAGTTTTATTGCGAAGACTATGTACGTTCTGATAAAACGAAGAGAGTCATTTCGAGACTGTGGGCGTTGAAGAATTCGATTCAGGGAGATTGTTGATGACTGATTTAGAAGTAACTGCTTGAGAAATCTGGTCTTTTCTAAGTTTGCCTTAAAACTCAGTGATAAGGCAATCCTCAGGCCAAAACGATGCATCTAATATTAGCTGAAGGTCACATTCATTCTGGAAAGACGAATAGGATTGAAACTTGGTTTTAAGACTGTTGCATTGAAGATATTGCAATTTCAGCGAACTCTTATAGTTCGTAATATCGTTGACAGTGATGCTAGGACCCAATCTAGATAGAAAAATTGCCTTTCTCTTAGGCATTTTACAAACAATTTTTAGGTTAGAATCTTTTCCAGCGCCATTTAATACAACTTTCGAATTGATCTTCTTCTCCTTGAATACACGAGTAATGACTTTAGATTGACCTTCGGGTAAAGCAGAGGTAGAGTGAGCCACAGAAGCGTACGTTGAAACTTTAGATTTTACTTCGGCTTCGAAAATTTCCTTCTGTAGACTAGGTGAAACGGATGACAGAGGTTTATCAGACTGAATGTTATCGGTAGATGGGCTAAATAGTTTAGAAAAACCATCAACTTTATTGTAAATGTCATGCCGGAAAGAAATAAACTCGCTTTTCAACTCAATAAAAAGATCCATGATCGTATCTGAATGATCCGAGTCCATTTTTTTTCAAGGAACAACGAAGGAAACTGCCTCGATGTATAGGAAGATGTCCCCTCCTTAAGATTCGAAAAATCATCCTTATTTTGAGCATAGAAAATTTTATTTCAGAAACTTTCTTAAAATATTCTGCAAATCATTTAGTTTATCCCTAGAAAGCTTCATCTTAGCTTCCCGCTCAGAATCGACGTTCACAGCTTGCGACTTGTCACCAACGATATATAAGGCATATCACAATATTATTTATCGTAATTTTATTTATTTCAGGCGTCATGGCCTAGTTGGTTAAACCGCATGTCTAGTAAACAGGAGATCGTGAGTTCGAATCTCGCAAATGCTTTGGGATTTTCACTTATATATATTTTCCAAGATATATATAAGGCATATCGGAATATTATTTATCATAAATGCAGCATGCGGAGTTGCCGTGGCTTAGTTGGTTAAAGCGCCTGTCTTGTAACCAAGAGATCGTGAGTTCGAATCTCGTCGGTGTGCGTGGCTTTTCAGTTACATACTTTAAAGATATATATAAGGCAAATCTCAATATTATTTATCATAAGTTCCTCCATTTCAATCGTAGTAGCTTAGTTGGTTAAAGCGCATGTCTAGTAAACAGGAGATTGTGAGTTCGAAACTCGCAGACGCCATTGGTGTTTCACTTATATATTTTCCCAAGATATATATGATGTGTACCGCAATATTATTTATCATAAGTGCTCCTTGCACAAGCGGCGTGGCATAGTTGGTTAAAGCTCCTGAATAGTAAAGAGGAGCTCTTCAGTTCGAATCTCGCCGGTTCCCTTGATTTTTCACTTATATATTTCCATGATATGTGTATGGCATATCGCAATATTATTTGACATAAGTCTTGCCATTTTAGGCGTCGTGGTTTAGTTGGTTAAAGCGCCTGTCTAATAAACAGGAGAACGTGAGTTCGAATCGCGGCGGTGCCTTTGGTGTTAGACTTTTATATTTTCAAGATATATAAAAAATATACCTTAATATTATTTATCTTAAGTTATTTTTACAGAGGCGCCGTGGCTTAGTTGGCTAAAGCGCCTGAAGAGGAGATCCTGAGTTCGAATCACGCCGGTGCTTTTGGTGTTTCACTTATATGCTTTCCAAGATATATATATAAGGCAAATCGCGATTTTATTTATCATATAAGGTAAACGACGTCTGAAGGCCACTTCAGACGTCGTTGTTTTGTTGATTAAAGCGCTTGTCTAGTAAACAGGACATCGTGAGTTCCAATCTCGCCAGGTGCTTTTGGAGTACCACTTTTTTTATTTTCCCAAGATATATATAAGGCGTACCGCAATATTACTCAACATAAGTGCTTCTTACATAGGCGGTGTGGCTTAGTTGGTTAACGCGTCTGTCTAGTAAACAGGAAATCGAAAGTTGGAATCTCTCCGATGAATTTGTTGTTTCACTTATATATTTTCCCCAAGATATATATATGGCATATCGCAATATTATTTATCTTAAATGCTTCTTACATAGGCATAAGGAATTTGGCTTGGTTAGTTAAGTCTCCTGACCATTAGACAGGAGATCATGAGTTCGAATCTCGCCGTTGCCTTTGGATTTCCACTTATTTATTTTCCAAGATATATATAAGGCAAATCGCAATTTTATTTATCATAAGTTCTTCTACTTCAGGCGTCGTTATTTAGTTGGTTAAAGCGCTTGTCTTTTAAAAAGGAGATCGTGAGTTCTAATTTCGCCGGTGCCTTTGGTGTTTCACTTATATATTTTCGTCACATATATAAGTCATTTCGGAATATTATTTATTTTATTTATTTACAACCCGCTCCGGCCCAGCCTACCCAGGAGGGTGTAAGGCCTTCCACAGGACGTGTCATAAGTGCTTTATACGGAGTCGCCGTGGCTTTGTTGGTTAAAGCGCCTGTATAGTTAATAGAAGATCGTGAGTTTGAATCTCGCCGGTGCCTTTGGAGTTGCACTCATTTATTTTCCAATATATATATATATAAGGCATATCGGAATATTATTTATCATAAGTGCTTCCTACAGAGGAGCCGTGGCCAAATTGTTTAAAGCGCCTGTTTAGTATAAAGGAAATCGAAAGTTGGAATCTCGCTAATGACTTTGGTGTTTCACATATATATTTGCCAAGATATATATAAGGCATATCACAATAGTATTTATCATAAGTGCTTCGGGGCGCAGTGACTAAATTGTTTAAAGCGCCTGTCTATTTAACAGGAAATCGAAAGTTGGAATCTCGCCGGTGCCTTTGGTGTTTCATTTATATATAAGGCATATCGCAATATTATTTATCGTAAGTTCTTCTTGCAAAGGCACCGTGGCTTAGTTGGTTAAAGCGCCTGTCTAATAAACAGGAGACCCCGAGTTGGAATGTCGCCGGTGCCTTTGGCGTTTCACTTATATGTTTTCAACACATATATAAGGCATATCGCAATATTATTTAACTTAAATGCTTCTTACAGAGGAGCCGTGGCTGAAATTGTTATACCGCCTGTCTAGTAAACACGAAATCGAAAGTTGGAATCTCGTCGATTCCTTTGGTGTTTCTCTTATATATTGCCCCAAGATATATAAAAGGCATTTCTCAATAATATTTATCATAATTTTTTCTTATAGCGGCGCCGTGACTTAGTTCGTTTAAGCGACTGTTTAGTAAACTTTAGGTCGTGAGTGAGTTCCAATTTCGCAGTTTCTTTGCCGCTTCAATGATATATTTTCAACACATATATAAGGCATTTCGGAATATTATTTTCATAAGTGCTTTATGCGGAGTCGCTGTGGCTTTGTTGGTTAAAGCGCCTGTCTAGAAAACAGGAAATCGTGAGTAGTGTCTCTGGCGTTTCACTTGTAAGTTTTAAACACATATATAAGGCATATCGCAATATGATTTATAATATGTGCTTCCTACAGAGACGCCGCGGTTAAATTGGTTAAAGCGCCTGTCTAGTAAACAAGAAATCGCGAGTTGGAATCTCGCCGATGCCTTTGGTGTTTCACATGTATGTTTTTAACACATATATAAGGCATATCGCAATATTATTTATCACATGTGCTTCTTACAGAGGTCCCGTGTTGGTTAAAGTGTTTGTCTAGTGGAGACCGTGAGTTTGAATCTCGCCGGAGCATTTGGTGTTTCACTTACATATCTTCTAGACAATAAAAATGTCCGCCGGGAAAAGAGAACATATATATATATATATATATATAAAATGCCTTCGTAGTTGTAGTCATGAACGAGCCGAGTTATTAACTAATTTTCTTTTATCCAAATATTGAAGTCATTTTTAAGGAGCGTGGTGAACATACGTGCATCTTAGTTTAAGTTTTCAAGCCGAAAGCGAACAGAAAATCCCTGCAGTTTCTGAGGTAGGTATTTAACATATAGTCACGTGATCAAAGTGAAGGGAATAATAGTTATTTTAGTAAATTACGTAAGTGTTTTAGGGAAAAGTCTAGCGCTAAAAGGACGCCAAATTCGTGATTTATATGTGCGCGTGGAAACGATTAAAATATTTATTTATTTATTTAAAGAAACGCACGCTACAGAGAAACACAGAAAGAACAAAAGTCACAATGAGTAAATAAAAAATAAAAAAAAATGCCTTACAAAGCAAAAAGTATACCACAGAGAATACATAAAATCATAAAACTTATGCAAACGTATATATAATTAAAAACGAAAACACATAATCACAAAACTTTAAGACACACTATTACACCAAAAGCCGTATTTTTTTTTAAATTTAAAGTTCATTTCCAAAAAGCAAGGGTCAAAAAGTCAAAACACGCAAACACCGAATCTAATAAAAACACACCAGGAGTTTAAAAGTTTAAAAACGTAAATACACACTTGAGATTTAAAAAAATGCAACACTTAAGATAAAAATAAATCAAGCACGGCGCCAAAAAACTGGTCGAATACATAAGAACACGGAAAATCAAATAGCATGAAAATCTAAAATGTTGTAGAAAGGCAAAATAAAACATATCATGTATTTAAAAGATGCAAGCATTTCGCGACTTAAAAGCACCTAGAGACATATTAAAAATGTCAAGTTCATCAGAGAAGGTGTTAAAAATTTTATAAAACCTATATACCGAGAACCTGTTAATATAATTAAATTTTGAATATTAATTTGGAAAGGTACTCTGGTTTCTTAAAAATCTGGCGGGCACAGCGAAATCTATTGAGCTCATTATATCATTACAATCAATTGAACCATTAATAACTTTGTAAAAGAAAAGAACGCAAGAAACATCTCGTCTGGAGGATAAACTAGGCATATTAAAAATATTACGTAGGAGTGAAGAAGACATATTATGCAAGTAAAATCCATTTTTTGGAAAGTAAATATCTCAAGAAGTTGTTCTGTATTCGCTCAATAATTTCTATTTTGTTTCGGTAATTGGGATTGCAGTTAATACTGCAGTATTCCAGATTGGAACGAATATGAGCGCAATACAAGACCTTGAGGGTAAGTTCACTGGAAAATTTTCTGGTTCTATGCTTAAGAAATCCAAGCCTGGGATATGTCTTAGAGACCATGGTATCGATATGTTGGGAAAAATCAAGTTTGGAGTCAAAGATGATACCAAGATCAGTGATTGTATTTGAGCGTGATAAAACAACATTGTTAATTTTGTATACATGAATCAAAGGTTGAGCCTTTCGAGTGTAACTAAGAACACTACATTTTTCAATGTTCAAGTGTAATCTGTTGTCTATGCACCACTTAAAAAGACAATCAAGATCTCTTTGTAAAAGAACAGAATCTAAATCGGAACGTATTGAACCAAACAATTTCAAGTCGTCTGCAAATATAAGGCATCCAGAGTACTTAAAAACACAAGTAAGGTCATTAATGAATATATATATATATAAATATATAATTATTCTTTCAGTAATAAATATGTCAAAACGCGAGATTTAATATACCTCTGGCGCGGGAAACAAAACGAAACTGGAGTTTAAGAAAAGTGATTTTGGAATACATTAAGACTTTAAAATATATAATATTAGAATTTAAAGCAAAATTAACCGAGATTATTACATATATATATGTGAGAAAAATTAAAAACAACGTCAAACACAAGATAAAAACACAGCAAACAAAATTATATACAGCATACAAACATATATACAGCACTCCTGGGAGTGGGGTAAAAGTGCAAAGCACCCAAAAGTCCCAGAGAATGGCAAGGACACAGCGATATCAACACCTATATCGAAAGAACAAAAAACAGAATTTAGCAGTATCAAAAGCATTTAGAATCAACAAGAAGCGAGCATGATTAAAAAGGAGCGCAACAATAAGCAACAAAGTACACCTTCTCTAAACCTCGTAAACACAAATAGACTAAATACAAAATAAGAATTAATAAATGTATAAATTAGCAAATTAAAACACAAAACCAAAAATCTCCATTAGTACAAAAGTGTGGATCCAGATCACATAAGAAACCGCACAAAAAATACCGAAGATATTGAAGTTATATAAACATCAAATGACAAAATACAACACCGCAAATGCCGACCAACCTAAAAATACATATCTAAAGAGAACAATATAAATACAGAGCGTTCAGATATTAAAAGTCAAGTATATCAAAAGGATCTGTACATACAATAATCAGCATTACAAGAACACACAGCAGTTAGAGCCATACAGCTTCAAAAATTCCAAAAATCAAATAGATATTATGCCTAGTTTTAAAACAACATAAATGAAGATCTCAAACAAAAACCAAAACCATACTACACGGAGGAACATTTAAGACAGCGTCAAAATGTGCGCCAATAAGAAAAAAAGTGCGTATAAAATTAATATTTATTAAATTAAAAATCTCCATTAAATTACAAATACAAACATTATATTTATATATTATATGTAATACAATATTTCAAAATGTATGTAATAATACAATATTCCAAAATATGTGAAAAAATAAGGAGTTACATAATAAGGCTAAACAATGAGAAACCACAACCTGAATCCAACCAGAAGAACAAAGTGGAGAATAAAAAATTAATTAATTAATTTGCAGAGGGCTGCACCACTTTAAGTTCGTTGCAAATTTTATGCGAGAAAAAACAAGTACTCAAGAGCTTACCAATAGATTTTGGATTCTTAAGAACATTAGAAAACCAAATGGGTATGTTTGTCTCTGAAGGCCGAGTGAAATGAAAATCAAGAGTATGGGGGCAGTCGAACGCGAAATGTTCGGCATCCCCCAGGCTACCGCAGATGCAATAAGGGCTATTAATTTGTTTAAAACGATATAAATAAGCAGGAAAAGGACCATGCCCAGAAATAAAAAAATAATAATTGTTTATTATGTGTTAATAAATTAAAAACAACAGTTGGAACAAACCCTTTAACTCTGGCACCTTTGCCGGAGTCCTCCCAATGTCAGCTGTCTAGACTATAATTTTTAATTTTCCTTCTTACATATGTATAAGGAGTGGGGATATTCAGTTCTTGGCCATCGGTAGTTGCAATTTTGGCATATTGGTCAGACAGCTCTTTTCCTGGGATTCCGTCGTGAGCCTTCACCCAAGATAAGCCGACCGAACCAATAGCTTGAAACATCTTTGATATAATATGATTTATAAATAAGGATTTAGAATTAGCTTCAGTAAGAACTTCTGTAGAAGATAAACTATCCGTAAATATGTTAATTTTGTACCCATTTTCAGCGCCAAGCAAGTGGCAAATTTAATTGCGGCGAGCTCGGCCTGGAAAACGGAATTATAATTGGCTAACTTAAACTGGAAAGATTCGCAATATTATTTATCATAAGTTATTCCAATTTAGGCGCTGTGGCTTAGTTGGATATATAAAACAGTTAAATGACATCTTAATTTGAAAGAAATCAACATTTACAACTTTTGCAGATATTACAATTTTGATAATACTACGCGAATTTTCTCATGAATAAATGA